GGCTGCGTGACGCGGGCGCCGGGTGTGCAGCCTCTGCCCCGCGCGCGGGAGACCCCCGGGGACCGGGGCTTGACGCGGAGGACGCCCGGGTGCCCGGTTTCCCGAGTTCGAGGGCGTGTCATGGCTTTAGTGGGACAGTCCGTCCACACGGGCTGCGGGAGGGCTGGGGGCGCGCGGGGACTGCCCTGGGAGCCCCGCAGCCACGCGCACAGAGCACCTCGGGAATCCTCGCGGCCCGCCTGTGGTCGCGGGATGGGGAGCCCCCCCGCAGACCCGCTGTGACCTGCACCCGCAGCGGTAACGGGGGTCGCCCCGGGAGCGTCCCGCGCTCTGCAGTCTACAGGCGCTTACGTCCGTTTTTCTCTTTGATCTTCACAGTTGAGAGAACTGACAGGATCTCGTTCGACAGAAATGTCTCACCCAGCGCTGTAGGGCCACTTTAGCTTTTACATCCACGTGTCATCGCCGCCTTCCCCTAAAGTCGGTATAGCTGCTCCCGTTTCATAGATGCAGCAACTCTGGTGACGGCGGTTATGTGTCTCACAGGAGCTTACACAGCAGCAGAGCCAGGATTGACCCTTGTTTTTAGCATTTTCCCCTAATCTTTTTGTCTTTCCCCCCTTTCTTTTCCATAGAGCGTCCTGCCGTTCTCCTATGTCCAGCAGCGGACGCACAGATCCACGGAGCTCAGGCCCTGTCCAGGCTGCGAGGAGGAGGTAACTGCAGGCGGGCTCCGGCCTCCTGTGTTTCCTAGACAGATGGCTGCGAGGATGAGGTGACTCCTCCTGGCACTGACAGTGACAGTCCAAACACAGTCTCTCCCACGGTCGGTCCCGGCAGCTCTCCAGGCTTTGCCCTAAACACCTTGGAGGGGGAGGTGGCCCGATGACCATGAAGGATGGGCTGGTACATTCCACCTGAGAGGAGTGCAGGTCCCCTATGAGCAAAGGGCTCCTCTCCTCCCTCCGAGCGAGTCTGGAGCGCACATAGCCAGGGTGTGCCCGGCTCCTCACTGTGGAATGGGCAGAGTGTAGGACTTCGTGCTGTTGGACCCATCACCCTGCTCCCTCCAGCTCCTGCAGAGTGTAGACTGGGCCCCAGGAGTCACGTTTACTAATGAATCAGCTCTTAGAACAAATGTCAGAGTTATACTTGCCATTTCCCGGCCTTGATGTGCCTCCCCTGGCTTCTTCCTAGAATCTGCCTGTAAGTGGAATTCTTGTAAATTAGATTATTCAGGGACCTTGACATTTAAAGGAATCATGTTATAAGGCTTTTGGTAAAGCAAAAAATTATATTGTCGGTAATGGCCTTCAGTGTTACCAGTTTTGAAGAGTCAGATTTTTATCTGTGGGGTTTTCTTAAAAGTGGAAACTGGCTGTAACTACACAAAGCTTTCTTTGATTCACTCAACAACCAATTAGCAAACACCCACCTGGTATCAGGTGCTGGACTAATGGCTTTCAGAGTAATGGCCCTGCCCCAGGAAGCTTGCATCCAGGGAGGGCAGGCAAGGCAGGCAGGCAGGCAGAGAGGAGAGCCCGATGTTTGGCCCCAGGTTTATTCTTTCCACTTAACTGGGAAGTGCATGTTTCGTTGAATACCTGTGTGCCACGTGGGATCCGCCTCGGTGTCACCTTCTCTCAGACGCTGCCTTGTCCGCCATTCGGGAAGGATGCCTTCAGCCTTTGGGTTCCCACGGCACTGTCTGACTCAGTGAGAGTCTTCATTGTTTCCCCATGTTTTTGTTGGTTTCGTTTCTGCCCTGTCTCCTACTGACTGCAAGCTCTGGGGGTCAGACTCAATGTTGACCAGCCTCATAGCAACTAGAACAGCACCTACCAGGGTGGACATTTGTCACAAGTGCCAGGGCCTCAGGGTAGAGCGAGATCCTAATGTCCCTCCCGGGCAAAATGTGGCCTGCTGGCTGAGGGTGGAGCTGTCCTCCTGCTCTGAGCAGAGTGGGGGGCCTGAGCTCTGCTGCCAGGCCCCTGCTGTTGCTTTTGGTACTTTGTCCATCTGGTGACACTCCTATCAAAGTCTGCTTTGGCTCTTGCCCCTGTAGTTCACACAGCTGCCAACAGTCTTCCAGAAACACACATCTCATGTCCTCCCTGCTCAACCCATAGTAGTTCAAGCTCACTGCTCTTTAGGGTGAAATCTAAACTACTAAACGTGACCCCTAGGACCTTGAGTTTCCTGTTGCAAGGGCCCTGTGTAGGCTCTTTTCTTCCTGGGCAGTCTTCTTGCCCCGTCTGCTTAGTGAACTCTCCCTCATTCACTGTTTCATCTGATGGCACTTCCCCAGGGGCCTTCCATGACGCCGCTGGAGTTAGGTCCTTCTAGAGTGTGCCCTTCTAGGGTCCTGGACTTCACAGCCCTTACAGTTGCGATTGAGTTGAGCTGTTTCCATCGCCCTGTTCACAGCACGGTGCCTGGCAGAGTCCTGGCCAGTTGTGATGACTGGATCCCACAGTGAGGGTGCTTCTGTGCTGAGCAGTGAGGGAGGGAGGCATGGGGACTGCTCAGGCCCCTCCCACCGTCAGCCCCGATGCCCACTATAGCAGGCATGGGCCCCTTGCTTCTCGGTCCTTTCTCACGTGCAGATCAGATTCTGTCCCCTGGAGTCAGGCACCGAGCTAGGTGGTGTGTAGAGAAAGCAAAGCACTAGAAGCCAGGGTTCTGGGTCCCCTGCTCTGTGAACATAGCTTTGTAAAATGACTTGAATGCAAGAGACAGAAGGACTGTCCTTCAAGGGGTTGGCAGCAGAGTAGGGGTCACTGGACATTCTGTGGCAGGACTGTGACCAATGAAGCGCCGTGTGGGACAGGCCCTTGACCAGGCTGGTTCCCTTATTCAGGGGCGCTGCTGAGCTTGCCTGAGAGAGACGTGGCTGGGGACAGCATGACGAGCGAGGTGATAGAAGACGAGAAACAGTTCTACTTGAAGGCCAAGACGTACTGGAAAGAGGTCCCGCCAACAGTGGACGGCATGCTTGGGGGGTACGGCCACATCTCCAGCATCGACATCAGCAGCTCCCGGAAGTTCCTGCAGAGGTTTCTGAGGGTAGGCAGGTCCGGGGTGCTCTCCAGAAGGAGGTGTGGCTGGCACCCTGATTTGTACAGCTGCAAGGTCTGCGGGTGTCTGCTGGTGTCTACCACCCAGGCCTCGAGGGCGGCGGGCTGCTTGTGGACTGTGGATTTTGCCTCAAGGTTACCCCACAGGAGCTGGCCATTACGCTGGGGGTCTCCCTGCTGCCAGAACTGAATGGTCTTCCTTTAACTTGTTCAGTTTTTCCAGGGACAAAACCTTTGCTCTATGGCTTCTGGTGGGCATTTGGGCCACAGGTGTTAGCTATTCTGTTGAAGGCGGGTTCCTAGTCACTCACCCCACTGCCTCCCCTGCCCAGGTTGGAGCCTCCCTGGTTCTGTCCCCTTGCCTCTCCCTTAGCGAGCACCAGGGGCTGCCCCCGCCCCCCCAATCCACCCAGTGTCTCCACCCACTTCCGATCATCCACATTCATTACAACCCTGTGCTCCCCGATTACCTATGTTCTCCATGCTGTCATCTTAACAGGGTCTCGGAAGAGATAAATGTACCTATTCAGGTTAGCACCTAAAAGTGGAGGCTGGCTTTCGTTTTAGAAATCTGTGACCCAGAAAAATGATGTCATGCTCACACCCACTGGCATCCCCACTGGTGTCGGCTCAGCCTGTGCTGTTTAGATTTGAGTAACTGCGGCATCTCGTGGGGACCGGCCCCTCCGCAGAGACAGGGTCCCCTGGCTTTCTCACCTCCTGAGCAGCTCCGCCTTCCCTGCATTGTAGGAAGGCCCCAACAGGACAGGCACCTCCTGCGCCCTGGACTGTGGTGCCGGCATCGGCAGGATCACCAAGCGGCTGCTCCTGCCGCTCTTCAAGGTGGTGGACATGGTAGACGTGACGGAGGACTTCCTGGTGAAAGCAAAGACCTACCTGGGTGAGGAGGGCAAGCGGGTGAGGAACTACTTCTGCTGTGGCCTCCAGGACTTTAGCCCCGAGCCTGGCTCCTACGACGTCATCTGGATCCAGTGGGTGATAGGTGAGCATCCGCCTCCCGTGTCCTCAGTCCTGCAGGGTCTCGCATGACTCCTCTGCAGAGACTGGAGTGCCCCTGAGGCCCTGGGGCCAGCACTCCCACAGCAGGTGGGCGGGGGACTCCTCCAATCCTCCCAGCACTCCCAGGACCAAGGAGGCTCACACCTCCTCCCACATTTCCTTTAACTCCATACATGCTGCTGCCCGTTGGGGGGGAGGGCAGTTTTTTGTAAAACAATTTTAAATGACCATGGAGTTTTTATAGAAGGTTTTTGTTGTTTTTTTTTTTAATAAGAGGAAAAACGTTGAAGCTTTGGCTGTCTCTGCTGTTGGCGGTGAGGAGCCCGGCTTTGCCAGCCCGTCCTGCACCCTCAGCCTGCTGACCTGGCAGCAGGCTACTGTCCCGGCGGTCAGCCACCCCCTCCAGGGTCCTGTATTCTGTGGTCCCAGAAAGCCTGTCTGGAGTTTTAATGTGGGGAAGGAACTGTTTGGTGCATGGCCTGGGTCATCTGGTCAGGGTGAGACCCCAGCTGCATCCCTCATGATGGCCCTGGGCCCATGACTTCTGAGCCAGTTTCCTCTTACATGAAATGGGGCTCAGTAAACCCCTCGGGATGCTGAGAGCCAGGGCAGCCCTTATGTTAACATGAAGTGCTCAGCTGAGCCAGTAAGTGGCTGCAAGGACACCCAGTAGGGTGCGTGCACCACCCCCAGAGCCCCCGCCTCTGCCTTCCCCAGGCCACCTGACCGATCAGCATCTGGCTGAGTTCCTGCGGCGCTGCAAGCGGGGCCTGCGCCCTAATGGTGTCATCGTCATCAAAGACAACATGGCCCAGGAGGGCGTGATCCTGGACGACGTGGACAGCAGCGTGTGCCGGGCCCTCGAGGTGGTCCACAGCATTGTCCGCAGCGCAGGCCTCAGCCTCCTGGCTGAAGAGCGGCAGGAGAACCTTCCGGACGAGATCTACCATGTCTACAGCTTGGCCCTGAGATGAGCAGGGCTGGCAGGAGGAGGGACCAGTGCAGGGTGGGGAGCTGGCAGCCAGGCGCCATCCAGAGGCTCCATGTCGATGGTTCACAGGTGCTGAGTGAGGCCACTAAATATACCTGCCACTCAGTACACAAGTTCTTTTTAAAAATAGGACCCAACAGGGAGTACGGATGACTGGGCAGTGCAGGCCTGTGGAAACAAGGTGACCCGTGAGAAGCGGGATTCTCTGACCTCCACCAGGCCTCCAGCCACAGGCCCCCGGCTGCCTTAATTGGAAGAGAACCCCCTGAACTGGGCCGGGGACACTACTTCGGGGGAGAGGAGCAGCTGCTGTACCTGCAGCAAGTGGGAAGTTCATGTCCCAAGTCCTCTTTGGTAATGGGGTCCTGGTGTCCTTAATGTGACCGTCACAACAGCCTGCAGCAAGGGGAGAGGCCTGGAGCCTCATTCTTGGCTACGCCTTGTGGCTCCTCCTTGGCGAATGCTTTCAGTTAAAAATAAAAAGGGCGAGCCCCTGTGCTGTGAAGGCCCCGTCTGGAGTGGTGCTTTTCTCCTGGGACAGTGCTGACCACTTCTGGGATGCTGTAGGGTCCTTCATCCTGAACTGGGGGTGGGAATGTTAGCAAGGACCTTTAAGGCCAAGAGAAATTGGTTTAATTTGGTAATATAAATATGTCCTTTAGCGCTTTAGCTTAACTCCGAGGCATTTACACAATTCACAGCGACCAACGTGACAAAAACAGCTTTGCAAGGGCTCAGCACTAGGCGGGACAGGCAGCTCAATCCTGGCAGCTTTCTCCCTCAGACAGACAATGGACAGGGCTGTCCCTGGTCGTGCATGATTGCTTTTTAGCAGAAGGCATGGTCCCAAGACCCTGGGTTTGGCACAAAGGGGCCACCAGAGCACAGCCAGTGCCTTGGTGGGCGGGGCCGCAGGTGGCCTGGCTTGAGCTGCAGAGGGCAGCAGGAGGCAGCTCAGCTCAGCTTTCTCCCCAGCCCACCACCAGCACTGCTGTGGAATAAAGGGCCTCGACTGGGTTGCACCAGCAGAGGCCCACCCAGCCTCCTGGCTTCAGCTCTCTCCATGCAGCTTCCCAGAGGACCGAGGCTTGGAGTACCCTGCTTCTGGGAATGCCCACCACTCCCTTCAGACTCGTCCCAAATCTAAACCTTGTCATTTTTTCCCATGTGGGTTGAGAACTTGGGGTTGTTGCCAAAGGGACGGGGGGCAGTCTCCCTGAAAAAAACAAGCCTTTTGCACTGGGATGATGGCAGCTGCCAGGCTCCCTCTGTACCAGGGTAAGTCCCATTTCCAGCCTGCGCCTTCCAACAGGCAGGACCAAAGGTTCCCCCAAGGCTGCTGCAGGTACTTAGATCCACCGACGGGCTGACTGAGGGCCCAGACCCTTCCCTTCAGCTGGGAGTGGTCAGATGTCATCGTCCACGGGGCTGCTGTGCTCACTGAGGAGGTACCACTTCAGCCTGTCGGGTAGAGGTAGGGCTCTGACCTTCGCATCCACAGGCCATGGCTGAAGGTAGAGCCGGATGTACACACGACACAGGTGCTTGAGGGGTGGGGGGCAGCTCTCCAGCTGCCTCAGGGAGAAGTGCAGGGCCTGGATCTTCTCTGCCAGGCTGCCCACAGGATGGATGTCGAAGTTTTCAGGCAGCTGCAGTTTGTGGGAGTTAGTCACCATGAGATCCAGGACGGTCTCAGCTTTGCGCAGGAGGTCCACATGGCTCTCATCTTCGGCGCAGCCTGGGTGCGAGCAGAGCCTGTCGAAGACGATGTGGAAGCCCGACCAGCAGGACGCGCCGTGCAGGGAGCAGTTGTAGGCGGCCCCGGACTCCAGCAGGAAGCGCAGGAGCGGGAAGTGCACCTGGAAGCTCCTGAGGCAGATGTGTGTGAGGGACTCGTGGGCTGGGCACTCGCTGGGGTCGGCCCCGTGGGCCAGCAGCAGCTGCGTGACTTGGAAGCAGAAGCGGCTGATCACCTGGGCTTCCTCTTCATCTCCCCCCACGGTCTCACCCAGCAGGAAGATGATGCAGGTGAACACCGTGTCCCCATCCTTGGTGGTTGCCTTGACGTCCGCCCCTGAAAGAGCAGCAGGGACAACAGAAGGTGGGAGAGGCCCGTAAGCCCTAAAGTAACGCAAGGCGGGGCGGGGCAAGCCGGCAGGACCTGAAGTGCCCTGTGAAAGCAGGCAGCCGGGGCAACCTGGGGCCGAGCCTCACCTCCTTCCAGCAGGAGCCGGATGTTCTCGGTGTTGTGGATCTGCACGCCGTCGCTGCTGGCCAGAGCGTGGAGCAGAGCGGTCTTTCCTAAGGAGGGGAGAGAGAGAGGGTGGGAGGCCAGGGAGCCAAGAGCAGGGCGACCCGAGGTGGAGGGAGAGACACGCTCAGATTAGAACACGAGCTCTGAAAAGGATGGGCCGCCCTGGCCGGCTTAGCTGTGGTTGAGCGTTGACCAGCGGACTGAGGGTCCTGAGTTCAATTCCGGCCAAGGGCATGTACCCTGCTTGCAGGCTGGATCCCTGGCCCAGGTTGGGGCATGTGTGGGAGGCAACCAATCGATGTGTCTCTCTCACATCGATGTTTCTTTCTCTGCCCCCCTTCCACTCTCTCTGAAAAGCAATGGAAAAATATCCTGTGGTAAGAATTATAAAAAATATAATAATAATAATAATAATAATATGCCTGGCCGGGCGCGGCTCAGCGGTTGAGCATCGACCTAGGATCCAGGAGATTGAGGTTCGATTCCCGGTCAGGGCACAGGCCCAGGTTGCGGGCCCGATCCCCAGTCAGGGGCGTGCAGGAGGCAGCCGATCAAGGACTCTCATCGATGTTTCCATCTCTTCCCCTCTCCCTCTCTCTGAAGTCAATAGATATATATTTAAAATAATAATAATAAATAAAATGGAAAGGGTGGACCGCTCAGCTAGGCCTGAGGATGGCTGCTTTCTGGCCATTCTCTCCAGCCACACAAAACTGAGAGCAGAGGGGCTAGGACAGGGTTTTTCTGGACCCTGGGATGCTGCCCAAGATCTGGCTGCGTCTCTCCTGACAGGAAGACACAGTTCCCTGAGAAGCTGAGAGCACACACCTCCAGGTCCCCCCCCCGCCCGACAGCATCAAGGGGCCACGTGGGGCCGACTGCACTCTCTCTAAAGCATCTGCAAGTCAGCAAACTGCACCTGCACACACCAGGCCATGCTGTGCCAGCACACGGGCTGCAACCAGCCTCCCCACCTGTGACCTGGGTACCTCAGCTCCCCTCACAAGGCACCTGGGCTCAGTGCTGTCTTGCTTTCTCATGGGAGGCACCCACCATGCTTGTCAGCTGCGTTGACGTCTGCTCCAAGGTCCAAGAGGCGCTGCAGGCAGGGCAGGCGCTCCGGCTCCTCGCTGGCCAGGTCCAGGGGGCTGCTCTCATGGATCTGAGCCAAGCAAGCACAACCAGGTTGGCCTGGGAGGCTGCTCGTGCCCCTACTGCATACCCCCTTCCGAGGAGGCTGGCTGGCTCTTACCCGGTCCCTCCGGTTAACGTCAGCCCCATGGCGCACCAGCAGCTCCACCATGTCAGGCTGGTTCCTCAAGACGGCGATGTGCAGGGCCGTGTAGTAGGTGACCGGGTCTGAGGGCAAAGACACAGCTCTCGTCGGTCCTGCCCAGGCCCAGCACTCCCACCTCCCGAAAGTCAGAACACAGCTGTCTGCATCGGGTGCGACATCTGGGTCAGACCGAGGTTCAGGTCCTGGGTGTTCTAGTGGGCACGAACTTAACCTGTTTGGGCTTCAGTTTCCTCTGCTGTAAAATGGGATCATACATCTCCTCAGGTTATTGGGAGGATGCCCAGAGTGACAGCCTCTCCAGCCTGGCAATGCCAGCCAGGATCTCAAAGCTGGGTCTCCAAGTGCCTGACTTCAGAATAGGGCCCCCGCCTCAGCAACTTGACCCTCCAGGAGCCCAGCAGCCTCTGAGCCTGTCTTCACATGGGGAGAGGAGACATGCCTGGCCACCTCCTGTGTCAGCACAGACCCCCATTTGGGACATCTCCTGGCTGACCCTGCCTTCCCAGGGGGGAAGCCAGAGGAAAGGAAACCGGCTCCATCACCATCACCACCACCACCACCCCCGCCCTCGCCCCAGGATCTACAAGCTAGAAGCCAGCACAGCCTGGCTGTGATTTAGGCCCGGTGTGGCCTGCCTGCTTCCCCTCTTCCTATGGGGGGAACAAAAATGCAAGATCGCTCAGGGCAAGTGGCAGGAAACCACCTTCCCTTACTGCTGGGTGCAGTGCCGGCAGCTGCATTTTCCCCTTAACAAAAGCAGGGACAAGGGAGGCCACCCAGTGTCGGTTTCCTTCGTCATCACCCATGAAATAAACGAGGGAAGTATCTCCTAAGAGGACAGGCAGAGCCCGAAAGGCTGGCCGCCCACCTGGGGCAGGGTCGCACCAAAGCCACCCGTCCACTCCAGCCCCGGGGCTCCCTCTGACCTTCAAAGTTGAGGTTGGCCCCATGCCGCAGGAGGACATCGGCTGCCTGGGTCAGCCCCAGCTCGGCCATCTTCAGCAGCGCATTGCTCACACCTTCCTGGTAAAACGGAGAGTGGGCCTTTCTCTCCAGAAGCTCGGTGAGGACCAGGATGCGTCTCTCCTCCTCGCTGGGGGCGTAACTGGGCCTGGGGCAGGAGGGGGTGGGCCAGTTGAGGGTGGGAACAGCTGTGGGACCAGCTGGCTCGGCACCCTGTAGGTGGGTGGCCTTTAGTCTCCTGCTGTCATCACCACCCCAGGCAGGGTCCTAGCTCTCGGGGGCAGAAAGTCTGTGTGTGTGTGTGTGTGTGGGGGGGGGGGGGGCAGG